ACAAGTCACTACTGCGCATGCGGCCATAGAAGAGAACTTGTATATCTACTTACGTTAACTCAAGTTTACCCCTCCCCATATCGAAAATGTGTAATAGAAATAAAAGTCAAGTGATTGATATCTTATTTTACAGGGTCTTCCAAATAATCTGATTTTGTAACAATTTTGACATTACAGTAATAAGTAATGAGAAAAATAATACCCATTCATTCAATTTCAAACTAGAAGGTCAACCTGAACACCAATGTTCATACTGGGCATTATTAAATGATACTATTGAAAATAACTGAAATAAGAACTCAAAATGTAAGAAGTCTTGCTTAATTACGTAATATGGTCCTTAAATTCTTCAGCTAATTACAGCTGAAGTTGTTGAAGTTCATGTCAAAATTATTCTGAAATAGTGACTGTCAGTTTATATTCAAAGTTTTTTTTATTTTTGGCATGTTGTCCCTTTTTATCTGAATGACAAGTGAAAAGTCAAAATTTCCAATACTGGCGTGATTCAAATCCTAATGTGTCACGCCAAATGTACACCCAGTATCCCCAAAATTGTTCAGGCAGGAAATTTGGGTAACCAGTGCGACAGTTTCTCCATAATTACCTTTCGGATTCGATGGAGAGGTTCTTCAGAATTGCCACAGATCCCCCCATTTGACGCCACTGAACATTTTTCTATGGTAGAAGTGAAAATAAAAAGTCTTCGAGAGGTTAATGCAGTCAAGCTGCTGAAAAATAATTCCATGAAAATGAAAAAATAAACAGATAAGTAATATTCTGATCATTCCCATATTGATTTCAATTTAACAGCCACCGGTAGACAGAGAGTTTACAGAGAATTATCCTAATATGAAATATCTGTCTCTATTGAACTTTCAACAGCGACCTTAACATTCCTCATAATTTTGTTTTGCAGCCCTCCAAGTAACATAATGGAAAATCAAAATTTTGTCGACTCTCAATTATCTGAATCTGAACCTACCAAGGAGAAATCAGCAGAGGCTGATCCACATATACACAAACATGGTCATTTTCACAAGCATATCTTCCACCATAATAAATATTTGGAACCACCGACTAGAATCGAACATATACATTCACCGCATTTCTTTGGTCAAAGTAGTTCTGAATCTATGTTTCCGCCTCAGTCTTCAAGACCACCGGAAGTTAATGTGCACATATCCCAGAATCAACATATTGGTGGGGTTTCCTCTAATAGTCATGTTACGCCTCTATCTGATACTCATTTCCATGGAGAACCAGTTCAAATTCTTCAAAGTAGTGGTGGAAGCCAATATTCACCATCAGAAGGAAATAGCGAGGAAGGGGGGCAAATATACAGATCTGGAGAAGATATGACTGAGAGAAGTTGGGACGATGAGGAACAAGATCAAATGGTATGTTGAACTATTCATTTCTGATAAAATTTTTGTATTAATCCCAACCTGTGAAGATGCTAGAAAAGTCGCAAAATTTGGAACATAAATTTCAGCTCCCAACTTGAATAATAAGGAGATGAAAAATAAATGTTTTTTCTTTCTGTTTTCATTGAAATTGACTGATAAGAATATCATGAAAAAGAGAGTGTTTTGCCGTAATACGTATCTGAAGTAAACCCTGAACTTCTGAAGTAAATGATAAATGGTTCCAGTGTGAAGATCATATACACTCGACCACATCGTTTTTTATATTCATAACCTGAATCAGGAAGTCACGCAGGTTGCTGTAGCCCCATATGTGGTGATGTTGGGTGTATCCCTGCCATTGCAGGTCTTCTAACTGGAACCACACTGGTGGCTCGACTGGTGACACACAGGTTAATGCAGGAGCAAACCCCAATCAGCCAGTCCCACGGTGCAGAATACTTGAAACTGTACAACGAACTGAAGGCAAATCTAATACTAGGAATGCCCGTGGATAACACAGTTCCGCAGTACAACTTTCAAAAAGATTTCAAAATCATTATACCAAGTAGAGAGGACTGGCAAAACGGCCCACCGGTGAAAGCGGAAGCAACTTGTTATATAGATGACTCAAAGACCCCAGAAGGAGTGAGAGCCGGTATATACGGAGGCAGAGCAAAGACGAGAATCGCACTCAGCCTCGAATATAATGCAACTGTGTTCCATTGCCATTTGCTTTGTCAGCCAGGCGGCAATAAGGCGCTCAGCTTCTTTTAATTCTCCTCAAGACTGGTGGGAAGCTATCTGGATGCGCCCAAAATAGGGTCACTCTAGTTTGGGTACCCGAACATGAGGGTCACAAGGGCAATGAGGAGGCGGATTTTCAAGCCTGAGAAGGCACATCCAAGGCTATGATCGGCCCAGATCCCTCCTGCGAGGTAGCAAAAGCACGAATAAAGACATCCATAAATTCATAGATGCAAGCCGAATCGATAGATTGTTGAAATAAGCTCCCAGGAATGAGGCAGGCGGAAGAGTTCATAAACAAACCATCCTGCTAAACCACAACCTTGAGGTTGTAAGGGTAGTGGTGGGTCTACCAACGGGGCATTGCCGACTCAGGAAACATATGAGTAGCATGGGACTGACAGAAGAAACCCAGTGCAGGTTCTGTCAAGAAGAAGAAGAAACCGCACTCCATGTGCCCTATGGATGCGAAGCGATGGCAAGGCTGAGGCACGCAAGATGCAGGGAAGAGAAACCAAAGACTGCCAGCTATATGAAGAGGTCAATGTAAAGGCTATGGAGTCTTATCAATGAGATCAAACTGGACAATGAGCTCTAACAACCAAGGAGCGTCACAATAGATCTGAAAAGGTCGCAGTGAATCAGGCCATGGGCTAGCTTTCCGACAATATGATCTAATCTAATCTAACTGGAACCACAAATGTGCGGTTGGATCCTGTTGTTGACTCCGTTCGTTTGTGTTGTTTCCCAGTGTGCTGTTTCTTTAATTCTCCCCTTTTTGATTTAGACCATACATACTCGACATCTATCATCTTCCACAGTCTGAAAAATATGATAATTGTAATGTTATCGTAATTAAAAGTGGTGAATCAAAAAATCTTTTATACGAAATTTCACAAGATTTCCCTTTCCATAGCCCTCTCTCGGAGGGAAGTGCACAAAAAATGAAGTCAGCGCGATTTGAGTCGCGGGCAATGTCAGTTTGCAATAAATTCTGATTAATAGGTACTGATAAATAAGACGTTTCCCTTTATGAAAAATACTTTGAATTTATGCAGTAACTTATCGGGGTAAACTGAAAAGCTTGTCCTTTCTACACTTGTATCAAGTTCTCCATTACAAGTTTCATATTCTTCAGATTGTGGAAGGTGAAAATACCCAAAAAAGGTCGACAAAAAATTGATTTTTTTCCACACAAAATGACTTGAATTGCGCTGACTTCATTTTTTGTACAAGTGTAACATAACTTTCCTTCGAAAGGGAGTTATCATTTTGGTTCAATGGAAATGTGGTCTTGTGAAATTTTGTATAAAAAATATTTCAGTTCCCTACATGATGACCTTCACTTCTTTTAATTTTGATAATCAGTTGATGATGGAGGAGAAATAAATTGGTAACATATTTTGCAGTAGATAAGCAATAATTTCAAGGGCATCAAAAGAGAGTTGATAACCTTGTTATCATTCATCATTTGTTATCATTGTTATCATTTTTTTGAACCCCTGACAGTAGAACAGTCCATCTTCGAATTATTCTTTACATTTTGGAAAGTTTCCGAAGAAATGCCGGCACAAGTTTCGAAAATTATATTTCTGAGTTTTTGTATAGTCCCAGGTTGCGTAACATAAACTTTCGATTTTATATAGCTTCAAAGAAAATAATGAAAGGCCGTTGTTACTATGTGGTAGGAGATCATAACGAAAAGAGAAATGAAAATTTCTATGTTTTTCACCACTTTTATTTGTAACTAACGTTACTGCAGTTTCGTCCTATATGGACATTCTCAAACTTATACAATAAACTTATACAATAATGCGATATGGTATCCCATACTGAGGAGTGTGCAGTGGAAATGTTCCTCAAAGTGTTTTTGTTTTACAAAAAAGAGAGTGAACGAGCAGGCCATTCCAACGGACCTCGCCTACCAATCCACATGCCTGGGTATATCTGATCCAACCAATTCCTCACAGGTCTTCTTCAACTTCTGGAGACACCAAGTTCATTGGTAAAACGGTCATCGAGAAAAGTATAGCATTTCTGGTGATAGGAAAAATTGCCTGTTTTGGATAAGTTCTGATGCCTTCGATTTCCGGAGAGAAAATTGAAACTATTTATGTCGTTGATCGACATTAAAGGAAGACGAGCGTATTCTTAATTCCCTTTCCAAACGATCAAGACTTTTGGAAATAATGAGTCATGTGTCTTCTTTTCATTTTTGTTTCTTTGATCATCTATAGAAGTCTTGAGGTGGCTGTTCAAAAAGTTAGGTGACTGTTAAAATTTCGTGAGCTACGTAAATTAGACTAGCATTTTTTTTATGTTGGTATACTCATCTCCGACATATGTTCACAGTTTCAGCTCTTTAGCATGTTTAGTTTGTTGGTGAGAGGCTTGAAAGTTAGAAATGTTGCATGTTTGGCGATTTTTTGCTATAAAAAAAATGGAGCAGAGAATTTGCATCAAATTTAGTGTCCAAATGAAATTAGGTAGTCAAAAACCATTGAAATGTTAACAGTGGCATACGGTGATTGTACTCTGAGTCAGAAAATTTTTACTACTGGTACAAGCTTTTCAGAGAAGGTGGAGAAGACGTGAATAAAAACTAATACTATGTATAGCTATATATACCTCAGGCATTGCTTGAGGAAGCTATTGTATAGCGAAACACGTGTCGCGGTTTCTGTGAAACCCTTTATAGTGAAAACCATACAATAAACTGTATTGATTAGTTTTTTAATATGGATTTTCATTAAGTATCGGCCAGTTCTATTCAATTGAAGATGTGAATGAAGTCGCTTGGGATTTTGGAAAAATTTTGCATGGCTTTTGCATCAGGATAATTCGCTCTGCTCATTCGTTATTGCTTGTTCGTAGTTTTTCGACCAAAAACAATATCGTAATCATGCCTCAGCCACCGAATTCACTAGATTTGGCGCCCCCTGCGAGTTTTTCTGTTTCCAAGATTGAAGAAACCCATGGAAGGATGGAGTTTGCGACGATTGTGGTCTTAAAAACCGAATTGCTTATAATTGGGGAGCCCAAGCGGGGATGTCGGGATTTACTAAAGCGTGGCAGATTAATATGCAGGGGGATACCTTGTACCCGGTTAAGTACTTCCACCAAATATGAGTCCCATATATAAGGCAGCCCCCCGTTAAAGATAAAGGATCAGATTAGTAAAAAAAATTGATCATCAGAAATTCTCGAGCGCGTCAGATTAAGGTAGGGTGAGTTAATTACCTGCTAAAAAGTGTATATTCCAGTAATCTGACGATTTGAGAGTGACGTAAAGAAAGGGGAGGGCAGCAAAGTTGTAAAAAAATAANTTAATTCGACTTTTTTAGTATCAAAATGGTGAATGAATAGTCCAAAATTTCTGCCCAAGGTAATCAGTTCTAGATAATCAAAACCACAATTTCCACTGAGAAAAAATTATTCGATTTCAGTATTTTGATAATTTTACCAGGCAACGAGCTTCGAGCGGTGGCAACCGGGCCTAGAGTTGGAGATTATGAATCGCTGCCATCGTCGGATTTTGTTTCATTTGCTGACTGGTTTGAAAACACCACGTGTTACATATTCACGCAGTTGATACACTGCAGTAAACAACACACAACTTGCTCTCTACGGCTTCAGTACACGTATGTATTTCGCTTATCCGCCAGCACTGGCGGCTAATGTGACGTCATGTTTGACCACGCCCCGTTTCGGTGAACGCTACATTCAACTATTAATTTGAAGAGGAAGATAAAGTGTAAAAATTCAGATTTTTTGCAGATGTACTATTTGAAGTATAAACTTTCAAAAAAATGTTTGTAAATGAGCCCATTTCTCGAACAGAGTTAACATAGAGAGATTTTTCAAATTTTGTGTTGAAACTTAATTTCAATACACCAATTCGCCGTTTTTATTTTCAGCTTGGGACATTTCCTTTGCCAATGTTGACTCCAAATGAGCCCGAATATCCGAATGTTCGAAATCCTGATCAATTTGATCCAAACGAACCTCAGAATTTTCAAGCGATTGTAAGATTCATCGAAGCCGAACAGAGATCTATAAGCAGAATGATTCACAGCTTGGATAGAAATAGATTGCACTATAATGGCCCTGCTGTGTTACCTAACATCGAGAATTACCAGGACCATCCTGATGAATATCTACCAAATGATGATGAAAACTATGAACACTATAAAGTTCGGGAATCTGCAGAAAATAATCGAACAAAATTGGGCAGATTGGTGGTTTCGAAAGAGCATGAGAGACAATTGGGGGCCGCACACAATTCTGGGGTGGATGAGGAAAATGTAAGTTTTTTTTATTTTTAAAACAATTTGTTATATTTTTTTTATTTTTTATTACATATACATGCTGACTAGTCAAGAACAAAATTGGAAAATATCTTTGGGTGATCAGCAGAACGGAAGTGTACTCTTATAACACAAGTTATTCCAATATTTCGATAAAATTCATCATCATCTTCAAGGAAAAGCGACAAAATTTGTATGATGATAGTACAATATGAAAATTATTATAAAAGGGCTCAACTTACTGTTAGTGAGGATGGCCGTGTCGAAAAGAATGTTACATTTAAACAATTGGAACATGTCAATAAAATTAAACAAGTCACCGGTAAAAGTCATGTGGTTGAAGAAAAAAGAAAGAGACAACAAACAATTGACAATGACAGTTGTCATGTGATTCAGTTTGGAAAGGTGTGTTTGTTTGTTTATGTTAAAACTATGGAACAAAAGAGAACTGTTATGGTACAAGTGTGATCAGAGAAATCTGCTATTATAAAAGTGAATCAATGAGAGAACCCAATATCAAATATGGCCAATTTAAAATTGATCAATTAATAACGCCCTGATTAGTTTTGAGGAAAGCAAGTGAAGAAGTATTATTAATTAAAAGTAGAACCCTGCCATAGGGAGGTTGGAACTTTGTTTTAAAAATATTTAAAATGTTATGAATTATATTAATGGAAATCCAGAATTATTTCTCGTTTGGAAATCATGTGAATTTTTATGAATATCTAATAGGAAGGCGTAGATTTCACTGAGGTGATCAATATATGATCTTCTATTAAGGCAACTCTTTGATTTTAATATAAATGACATTTCCAAAAACAGTATTTTAGAAGTATTTCTTTCAATTGATAAGATTTTAGTTCCTTGGAAACATAATTATGATTTTATATGAACTGATTCTATCCTTGAGTAGTCTTGACGTTTGATCAATATATCCACTATTACAATCTAAACGTGGAATGGAATAGATTAATTGAGACTGGAAGTTTATAGGAGTTTCATCCTTAAGTTTTGGAAATAATTCGTCAATAGTTAATATGGTTCTGAAAGCTATTTTTACATTTGAATTTTTGAAAATTCTGCATAACTTAGGTATCATATCATTTATGTATGGTAAAGAAGAGAAGAGTATAGGAACTGGCTGTGGATCTATCCTGTGGCTGTGGATTTCTATCCAACTGGTTGTTATTGTTGATTTGAACGTCAATGGTTGACGTACTAAATAAGATCTTCTTAACTCTCTGGGTAAGAGTTATTGGTAAATAATTGCAAAACTATATTTAAATTTTTCAAGTGAAAAGAATGCGGTTCTTCAGACTTCTTCAGATATGAACAAATATTTTTTATGAAATCAGATTCAGAATGGTAATTCCAGAGGCGTCGCAAAGGTTTACTTGATTGATATTCATGGTATTAATCATTGTACGGCACTGTTTTCGCAAAGTTTTATATTTGAAATAGCAACTTTTTATCGAATCGGAATCAGTGGAATGAAATATCTTTTGATATTCATCACCATTTGAACAAACTATGAAATGCAAATCTGTTTAGATAGTAGATGGAAGACGTATTCAAACTGCTACTTAATTTGTATTTTATTCGAAGAACAACATAGGAAATAATGAAAAATAATTAAATCAGATGTTCGAAATGGGATCCTTGGCTCGCAATACAAGCATCAAGTCTCCTCCTTATCGAGTGCCGTACATTTTCAAAAATTCCTGGGGTGTTGCGTGTGATATTAGAACTATGCATACTTCTATTCCTCAAGTAATTTTCATCAACAACTGGTATATCATAAACAAGCGATTCGAAATATCCCCAGAAAATAATCCAGAGAAAACAAGTCTGGAGATCTAGGTTGATATAGTTGAGGTCCCCCAAGTGACATCCGCAAAGATGTCACTGAAAATTCCTGCTGAAATCCCTTACTACAGTGGAATGAGGAATCTCGCAGGTCCAAAAGTGATTGTTATGCAATTTTATGATGACATCTTTTGAAAAACCCCATCTGTGAATGAAACTCTCCACAAGTAAAATTGGGATTTTGTACAATTCTTTAAAGAAACCACTGACAAAAATCCAATTATCTAGGAAAATCTCGTGGTAAGAGTGCCTGAACCCATTGCTTGTATTATGGGTACAATAAATGTATACAGGGCTTTTCATGATGAGCGTTAATTAGCCGTTTCTGACAAACTATTTAACGGATCAACCTGAAAATTTCACAGTATGCATAAATCAATATCGATTTAGCCTGTTTAAGTGATTGTTGAGTTCTTTGTAAGTATGCCTAGCAATATAATTTTAGTGTTCTATAGAGCATGAATAGTGGCTTTGTTTGATGAGTTTCGGCCGAATCATCAAATCGCGAATAGAATGAGTATTACCTACGATTCAGTTATCCGAATAGTGCATTCGTATCAGAAAACTGACAACGTTGACTGGAGACGTGGAACTGGGCGTTCTAGGGTTACTAATGCAAGAGAAGATGGGTATCTATAGTGTGACTCATATACAAATTGAACTGAGAGCTAACGGCAACAATGTTAAATGTTAGAACTAAATTCTAACCGCGGTATATGCATCGCCATTGTAAATAATTGAAAAGTAACATGATTTCATAAAAATTTGCCCACCGTAACAAGATAGCTTCTGCATATCGATAGGATGTACGAGCGGATAGGTTAACCAGTTCGTTAAATACTTTGAAACATCGGTAAACTGATCAACACTTCGCAGGTCTATTATATGTGCGTCCTTAAAATGCCATAACTAGTCATTCGGTTTCTTCATTATCAAGCGTCCTTATCTGCATAGGCGTAGTGTGTTCTGTTTCTTGTGAAGGTGACTTTGTTTTGTATTTATTAAATATATTTT